CACGCGGTACGGCAGCCGAGCGAAGGCCCGCACCAGGGTGTCCCGCACGGACGCCGGCAGTTGCTCGCTGCGGATGGCGGAGCCCAGACTGAAGAAGACCGCGGGCGCGTCGGAGGCGTCCAGGAAGCGGCGCAGCTGGGCGTCGTGCAGGGCGCGGGCGGGCCGGCAGTGCATGGCGCCCACCTCCACCACGTTGGGCAGCAGCGGCCGGGGGTGGCCCAGCGAGTAGTGCGAGTTGACCAGCACCAGCGACACGTTCTTCTCCACCTCGGACAGGGACACTGTGGGGTCGCCCAGGAACCGCTGGACCACGCCGTCCAGGCGGCTCAGCACCAGCTGGCTGCGGAGGTGCGGGCTGATGAACCTGCGGGAGAGGGAGAGAGGGCGTTAGACGCGGGGCGGGGGAGAGGGGGGGGTCATGAGATTGCACGGCAGGGGGGCTGCATGACTGCATGAGCGGCGGGGCGAGAGCTCACCTTACGAGGGTGTTCAGTGTGCGCTGCCACAGCGTCATGTGGGTGTCGTAGGGCAGGTACTGGTTGGGCACGTAGGCGGGGTTCTCGGGGTTGCCCAGCAGGTCGGCCGTCCACGGCGTCAGGCCGGACGTGGTGACGTAGATGAAGGGCGCCTGAACTTGCACGAAGGCCAGGCCGCACTCGTTCATGAAGGCGGGCAGCAGCACCAGGTCGGGGCGCTCGGCCCAGGCGGCCTGCAGCGCGGGGTCCCGCAGGAAGGCGTCGCAGTACTCGGGCAGGTGCCGCACCACCTTCTTCATGACCTGCGAGTTGACGTCCTTGCCGCCGCTGGCCTCGCGCATGCGGAACACGTCGAAGCCCCGGTCACCTTGCGCACGACGCCCAGCGTCGAGCGTCCCCAGGTCGCGCAAGCGGGAGCCGTTGGCGGGGCGGCGGGCGTGGAGGGAGGCGATGGTGACCTGGTGTCCTCGCTGGGGCAGCCTTTCGGCGAGGGGCGGTCAGGATTTTTGTGGGAGGCGAGCCCAGGGCAGCACCATCAGCACCCGGGAGCCCTCCGCAAGGGCGGCCTGCCAAGCGAGACACAATATAGCTCTCATTGCTCTGTGATATTCGATCAGACTGTTTCAGTTGAAGTTGTCACTGCACTTTGTTGGGTTTGGTATGCCCTGCCTGGAGGAGCCCGTCGTTATATACCTGCCCGGTGCGCGAGCGGCGCCGCCATTGGTCGAGTAAAGTGCCTCATGACGTCACAGTCGTACGAGAATTTACAGGGAGTCTTTCCTTCTTTCACTTCACGGCCGCTCTTATCAGTCGCCACTACGGACTCCCACGGGACCTTATCTCACCAGGAAATTCGAGCACATATTAAACCTCCGAATCGCACTTACACAGACATTATGAAACATCCCAGGAAGATTAGAGCGACGAGAAGACCTTGAAGGTGTAACGTAAGTGCGCACAAGCGGCCTACGCCAGGAAGCAGAGACACGTGACAGGCGTGAAAGAGCCGCGGCGACCCGGCTGTTATTTGACCAAGGGACTCGGGGCCCGTCGCGAAAACGCCGGATAGCGTCCTACGGCAGAGTCCAGTGGGGCTTCTCCCCTTGAAAGACGCTTACCCAGAAGTCGCTTCCACTTACCTCTTGATTGACGAAGTTGATCAAAGTGTTTAGCATTTTTCCCTTTCTCTATCCTTCCCAAACCTTTGCACACACACACACATACGAGTATATAGGATATGAGCAGTTTCCACAGATCTCCGACCACGCCTGAACTGACAACGCCAATGTTTAACATCATATGATGGGTCATCCTCCACATAAATTGCTTTCAGTTCATCGAAGGCCTCTTGTGGTGTGGTTCCATTTCCACACCATACTGCTCCTTAATTGCTATAAGAGAAAATGCGTTATGAGTTAGAGATCAGAAATCAACACGAACCCTATAATGTGTACCTTTATGCATGCGACATTTCAGCCTTCTAGATAAGCGGAAGTGGCAGGATGATCTTTAATGAGCCCCTATATATATATATATTATAATATATATATATATATATATATATATATATATATATATATATATATGTATATATATATATGTATATATATATATATATATATATATATATATATATATATATACTAATATATATACATATACATAATACATACATACATACATACACACACACACACACACACACACACACACACACACACAGCACTACACACACACATATATTATATATATATATATATTATAATATATATATATATATATATATATATATATACATATATACATTACACATACACACACCACACATACACACGATACACACACAAACACACACACACACACACACACACACACACGCGCCCACACACCACACACACACACACACACACACACACACAATACACACACATTTTTACAACACATATATATATTATATATTATATATAATATATATATATAATAATATAATAGTCATATATGTGTGTGTGTGTGTGTGTGTGTGC